GCCCCCAAGAAGAATGCAGATTCAGAAGCACATTAAAAGTTAAGTATATTTTATTTGAAGTGACCCATAGACTCTCATCAATATTAAACTAATTTATACTTTTTGTTTTTTTGACAGAGGCAGGAACCCCACAGGACAAATGTGGATTCAGCAGCACATTTTAAGTTGAGTATATTGTTATTTGAAGTGACCCATAAACTTGTATTATCAATATTAAACTAATTTATACTTTTTGTTTTTCTTTCAGAGGAAGGAGCCCCCAAGGACGAACTCGAATTCAGCATCACATTTAAAGTTAAGTATATTTTTTATTTGAAGTGAACCATAGATTTTTAATAATTTAATAATTAAATACAGTAATTCAACTGTCCAATTGATGTGGATGTTAGCAACTACATGTAGATGTTACCTACAGCCTTCAACAATGAACATAACCCTTACTGCATATCAAGCTACAAAAGGTCTTGAAGTGACAAAAGTAAAACAATTCAAACAATAAAACTTACGCCCTGATTCATGTACAAAACTTGAAACGAAAAGATAATATAATATACAGCAGCAAAAGACAACCACTGAATTACAGGTACATACAGAATGTTGTGCGGATAAATATGTTTCTGGGTGCAGAATCATCCCCAAACCTTGGACAAAATTAATTGTGGACCAACAACACAAAATATAGCTTTCTTAACAGTCTAAGAAAAACATGATATTGTGCTGTTTTTTCGGTTCAACTGTAGCTTTATGCAAAAAACTGTTGACAAGTATTGTGTAAAACTGACATAAAACATATCTGACTGACAAAAACAACTTGACAACTGGATAAGACTACTTCCAGGTTTGCCAATAAAAAAAAGTTTTACTGACCTTCTGATCCTATTTTTTGCCCTCAGCTATATCAAAATATAAGAAACTTTTCTATTTATTACTGTTATGGCTGTATGTTTTGTTTTAATTCCCTTGATTTGAAGTATAATATTCATGTGCTCATCTTCAAATATATTGTAAAACTTGTAGTCTGTAATCTCTGATTTTTATGGATCTTATGATGTCTGCCTTTTCTCTAAAAACAATGTGTTCACTCCTTTAGAATTTAGTTAATTAATTTTCTGAATAAAAAATGTTATTTATAGATATTGTTCTCCATTTAAAAAAAATGTCAAATGCTATCTTTAGAACTTGGTTAAATAAAATTCAGGCAAATTTGTTCTTTTCTCTATTGAAGTTCCAAAATATTCATACCAGCAAAATAAAAACAAAAAACTTTTTTGTTTTATACCTTGCACATGTATGTATCGAAATTTGTAATATGGTTCTTGAATTTTATTTATTAAAATCATAAAATATCAGAAAGGCATGTTTACTAAAGTGTATACTCCATCTGTATGCATATATGTAATATATAGAGAATATATGTATTAGATTTTAAAAATTAAAACTGGTTCTTTCATAATTAAGAGTTATTAGATAATTTATATTGTACATAGAAGGATAAAAAAAAATTACAGGAAATTATTTGATAATGGGGAGAAAAGCTGATAAATAGATTAAGAATCAAACTGTTGAATAACAATTTAAGACTCTTTTCTAATCATTTTTGTAGCCTTTTAAAAAGTAAGATGTGTACTGCAAACATTTGGTTGTCTGACTGTCATCTTAACTGGGTTGGACATATATTTTTTTCAGCTTGAATGGACTTTCATTAACTATAGAGAAAATATGAGGATATTAATACACAAAATCCATGATTTCTTTTAATGAATGACAACAGTTCACAAAAATGTCTGAATTTAGTTGTTTTCTTTATTTTTCCTGGAGAAAATTTGTAACTGTAAACAGCCAGAAAAACAACATGTAGGTCAAAATGCAAGTAAATAATTGCATGTAGAATTACTCCCCTTGCATGTATATTTTTATTTTATCATAGTCCTGATAATGTTTAGTGTGGAAATATTCACTAGTAGCAAATTTAATCCAGAGAAATTTAGAAATGCTCCTCCCATAATTAATTTTTTTTTTTAAATTTAATGTATTGAAATTTGAAAATTGTGTTTAAGTTTAATTTTAAACCTTAGTAGAGCTAAAGAAACTGGAAGTTAGTGAGTCCTTAAACATGTTTATTTAGTTTATATATATATAAACAATAGGAGTATAATTTTTTTTTATCAAAGAATGATTGCCATAATTGATAGCAAGCTTAAAACACCTTACATTGTACCTGTATGCCTTCTCATTATAATTCTAATATAGGTCACTAGTTTAAAATGAATGCATGTACAGATGTATCATATTATAACAGCCCTGTGATAATAGTGCAATAAAAACTCAATGATGTAAAATGCCCATAACAGTATTTTGGAAAGAATCTGTCGACAATAGAAAAAAGGTCACATTATTTAGTGCTCACTCTACCTCATGGTCATAATAAGAAGGGACTTTTTCTTAATCTGCTAGGGTCTCCCATCTATGCCAACATGCCTTATAGTGACCAGTATGTCCATGCAACTGACAATTTTATATTAATTTCTTTTCAATCACTTAAACTTCATTAAGGTAAGGTTCTTTACTTTGTAGGTCCCACAGAGATTGTTACTTCTTTCATTTAAAGGCTGGCCACACTAAAATCTGCCAAAAAGATGATGATGGGAGAGCAGCTTGTCCTGGAAGAGGACTATGATGAAAATTACAAGCCAACAGATGAAGGTGTGTAAATTCTTTTTAAATTTTTTTGCAAATTACCATAGATTTTTCAATCATTAACTACCAATGTCAGGAAAATCCAAACTTAAGAATCTAAAGCTGGAATGGGTGCAAGGCTGGCAAATAGCAGACACCTGAGGGAAAATCTGTCTCTGAAGAGGCTGTGTCCTGGTCAAAGATTATATAAATTGTATCAGAAGTTGTCTGACATTTCCATGGCTTGCATTCTTGCAGTCAAACCGATAAAAATGATTGAGGAATATCTCAGGTCATAGCAACTACATGATTTATAACGAAAAACAGAGGGAGACAATACAATTATTCAAATTAATAAAAAAAAATACGACAGGAATTACCCTAAAAAACGGACACCACAGCAAACAGCAAAAATACCAATTCCTTCAAGAATTCAAGCACTCAAACATTAAGACAAACAATAAAAATCTTTTAAAAAGTTTGTATGTACATGTAAAACATTTTGTACTTATCTGTTACTGTTGAGAGAAAAGTCCTCAATAAATACATTTTTGGTATGTAATTTAATAATGTATTCAAAAAAAGGCTTCAGATTCGAAAGTTTAAGGGTCTTTCAGTTAAGAAGCCCATGAAACAGCTAATGCTTTGGACCTTTACCCTGCAAGTGCGTTTTTATACAATTGAGTTCTTACTATGGACAGTAGAATACTACTTATGATATATTAAAGTCTTAATGATTTGAAGTTAATTTTCTTGTGTTTTACAGAGATATTTGAGTATGCTCAGATAATTGGCGTAGATCCCTATAAGGAAGGTCACCTGATGTGGATCGCTAAAGAAGGAATTATCGCACCATTAACCTGAACACTGGAGACCATGGTTAGTGGCATCATCTATCTTAATGACAAATTGAAGTTGAAGCAAGATAAGATATTAATCTCGAGAAAAAAGCAAATATTTGCATTTATATGAACCATTTGGTATCCATGTACAAATGAAAGAAATTTATTTTACAAAAATGGAAAAAGATGTATTCTTGCATCTATGTTACTGTGGATTCATTATTAATCATGGGATGCCAATTTTTGGATTTCTTGGGCGCAGATAAACCAGGAATGTAAATGTACAACAAAGTTCACATTTTCTATTGGTTTGTATGCAGACCTTGGCAAAACCACAAAATCAAATATCCTCTAAAATACTATTTTTCTGTAATCCACGAAAATATGTGAATCCAAAGTAGTTGATAAAATTTTATCATATATTTAGTACAAAATACAGCAATATTGTATATCTAATAAAGGTTCTTTTTTCCAGTCTGTATCACCTACCCTGTATCGCATACCCCGTATCGCATACCCCGTATCGCATAGCTAAACCTGTATCGCATACCGGGCGTGACGTCATTATCGAATGACGTCAAAGTTTTACACATGACATCCAGTTGCTGTATTTCCTACTGGTGATACGAATTGTAACATCATTTAGTTAGAATTTCTGAAAAACACTTGCAAGAAAAATGGGTCATTTATGACACTGACTCAGACTAGAAATTTTCATTTTGGAAAATGATTAAAAGACCCTTTCTCTCTTCACTAGTTTTTGTTTGTTTAAAAGTACATGAATGTGAAGGTGTGTTAACTTTGGTTGTGCAATCGTCATCGAACTGAGGTAATAACAGTAAGGAATCTATAGATTACTAATCTAAAGCATTTGTATTAAAATTAGCAATAAATTCAAATATGTGCATTGATACTTTTCCTGAATCAAGAGTTTAAAAAGCAAATTGTTCACTTCAAAATCCAAATTATTTTGAATATAAATACAAATATTAAAGTGGTGTTATATAAACAAATTACATCTACATGTATTGATATATGGTGCCAAATGGGGAAAAAAATCTATAAATCATAAAGCTTGAAAAATACAAGAAAAGACGATTTAAAAAAAGGATATAGGATGCCATGAATCTATCTGATTCTTTTAAAATATATGATAAACAGAATAATACATGGTAAAATCCGTATCACATACTGTATCACCACTCGACCAATATCAGCCCTCGGGACCTTCGGCCCTCGGGACTGATATTGGTTCCTCTTGGTGATACAGCATGCGATACGGATTTTGCCATGTATTATTCTATATGTATCAGGTTTTGGAGATTTCCACTGTATATTTTTTTAACATGTTGATATAAAAACCATTTTGATATTAATATTTTTTATTAAATGATATATTTGTATGACCCAACTTTGTACTTAAAAAAATAGCCCTCGTCGTCAATGAAGCATGCATGAATATACATCTCTTTACAGCCAAGACACAAATGGAGATCTATATTACTTTAACTTTGCTTTGGGTACCAGTATATGGGATCATCCTTGTGATGAATTCTACAGACAGATGGTAATTGAAGAAAGAATGAAGTTTAATATGAATAAAGGATCAGGTAACAAATAGTTTTATTTTAAAAAATATGAAGATGTGGTGTGATTGCCAATGAGTCATCTATCATCTAGAGACCAAAAGACGTAGAAGTAAGCAACTATAGGTCACCGTATGGCATTCAACAATGTGCAAAACCCATACATCATAGCAAGGTTGAAAGGCCCTGAGGGAAACGACAAATGTAAAACAATTTGAATGAGAAAAATAACAGCCTGATTTATTTATGAAACAATAAATGAAAAACATGATAAACAGCAAGAAAAGACAATCACTGAATAACAGGCTCCTGGCTTAGGACTAACACATACAGAATGTGGCAGATTAAAAATATTTATGGGAGCCCAATCCTTATGTATAGTAAAAGAAAGAATATGACGAGAATTGTCATGTGGCTACAGTCCCATTGAATAGAGGATAAAATACCATCAAAAGGAATATGTTGTTATGTCTCTATAAATGCATACATATACACACACAAAGATATAAATATAATTGCTAAATTGCTATAAAGCCTTGTTTTCATTTGATTATAAATAAAAGAAAAGAAACATTGTCAAGTTTAAGCCAATTTTATTTTATCATTCTTTACAAAATAATACAATACAATACAATACAATACAATACTTTTATTTCCAAATTAAAGGGCCCATTAAGAGCATAACATTAATAATAACATGACATAAACATTACAGAGTGATTAAAGAAACATGAAATAATAGTTCAAATGCATGAGGAAAGGGTCAGTGGTCAAGGGGAGATAATTTTGCTATCTATTAGAGTATTTAACTAATTTTCTGATTTTCTAAGTTGCAGGCCTTTATCAAGGTATACACATAAAATAGATAAAAAAACTGCTATCTTCATTACTCATGATCCATGTAAAAAGATCATTTCTGTTTAAATTAAAAAAATCAGTTATTTTGTCTTCTTTTTTGACACACACTTTGTCATTACATGCACTGCATGTCATAGTTATCATAAGTTATTATATAATATTTTTTATTTGTTCAGGTCCACCTAGAAGTAGAGGACCAAGTGGAGCCCCCCCCCCCCCAGCTTTTCCTTTTTTATGGAGAAAACACATCTTCCTGTAAAATTTCCCTGCAAAACATATGTCAATTTTTCAGGAAAGTGTATTAATTACCATTCTACTAATAGGTCATGCCTGCATGATATTTTGTCAATGTTTATATTTGATCCTGAAGAGCCAAAGCAGCCTATATTTGTATAGAACCTTTTTTAGATTCATCCTGTGAAATATTATATTAGATAGGCACCATGTAAAATGTAACTCTGTAATGTGACTGGTGTCTCAAGAAAAGGCACAGCTGGTGTATGCTTTTTTTTAATTTCCCTAAGTCTCGTATAGGAGTTATTTAAATTGACAACTAATGCAGATAAAACATTGACAGTTTTCACAAAGAATTATAATGAAATTTATCTAGATATATTCACAGTTTAAAAGATTAATCAAAATTCATTAACTGCTATAAAGTAGTCAAAAATATTGGTAAAGTGGCCTGATTAGGTCTTCTTTGAGGGGAACATGTATAGAAATATTGGTAAAGTAACCTTAGGTCTACTTTGAGGGGAACATGTATAGAAATATTGGTAAAGTGGCCTTAGGTCTTCTTTGAGGGGAACATGTATAGAATTATTAGTAAAGTGGCCTTAGGTCTACTTTGAGGGGAACATGTATAGAAATATTGGTAAAGTGGCCTTAGGTCTTCTTCGAGGGGAACATGTATAGAAATATTGGTAAAGTAACCTTAGGTCTACTATGAGGGGAACATGTATAGAAATATTGGTAAAGTGGCCTCAGGTCTACTTTGAAGGGAACATGTATAAAAATATTGGTAAAGTGGCCTTAGGTCTACTTTGAAGGGAACATGTATAGAAATATTGGTAAAGTGGCCTTAGGTCTACTTTGAAGGGAACATGTATAGAAATATTGGTAAAGTGGCCTTAGGTCTTCTTTGAAGGGAACATGTATAGAAATATATGTAAAGTGGCCTTAGGTCTACTTTGAAGGGAACATGTATAGAAATATTGGTATTAAATGTTTATATATTTGATAGGGTTTTAATGGAAATTAAAGTAATATTTCAATGAGCCTCCTCGTTGTGTTTTTGATTATGTGATTACATGGCCGTTTTTATAGTGATTATTTGATTACCAGACCAAATATTTCATGATTATTTGATTATTTGATAATCTAGGACTGTATTTTTGATTATTTAATTATCTTGTTTAAAAAAATGATTAATAATTATGTGATTATATTGGCAAAAAAATTGTGATTATGTGATTACTTGGACACCCCGTGAGGGGCCTCTTCAATGATATTTGCAGGAAAAAAAATTAAAAACAGTTATTTATTGAGTTTTTTATCTGTCTCATTTTAATTAGATTATCTTTCTTTTATAAGGAAAGAAAGGAAAAGCTGGAAAGGATGATGGAAAGAAAAAGAAAGAGAAACCAGGAAAACCTCAAGGTATGTCATGTACTTTTGATTCCTTTCTCTTGTGGTATGTGTGAAAAATGTTTGTTTGCATTCATACATTTTCCTGTTCAGAGACATTAAAAATTATGTATAACTTATCATTCTGTTAAATGAAGTACAAATCTAGGAACAGAAATTTCTCATTATGACAAACAAAAAAGAAAGGAATAAATTCATTGACACATTGATGGGCAAATAAATAGAGTAAAACCCAAAATGAAATGCAAGATTTTGAAAAATTACTTGATCTACAAGTGGCAGTCGATAGCTTCTTGTCTGCTGTTTGTTTTCTGAAAGTGTTGAGGTCATCAAGATTTATCTTCGTCCTGCTATCATTCCCTCATTCTAACAAATAATTGTTGTCTATACTCCTTTTATTGCTCTGTATTTGGGTATGTAGATGCAAAGTAATGAAATGCAGATTGAGTTTTAGTTTTGTTACAGTTGACATACTTTTTCATTAAAAATTTAATCCTTTTTTTGGCCTTGTCTATTTTTGTTATATAGTTAAAATGATAAGTTACAAATCCGGTTCATGTCTTGATCTATATGACCTACTATTGATAGAATTTAGACTTTGTTCTTTAAACAATTCATGAAAAACAACTTTTTCAACACTTTTTTGTCTGCTAGGGGTGTTAATTTCTGATGTTTATTTGATGATATTCAGATTGAGTTATAGTCTTTTTCCAGTTAATTTACTATTGTTATCTAATGTTTTTTCCCCCATTCTCATTGTTGAAAATGGGGCATTTATGTTGAACTGACACACATAGTTATTTTCTATTCACCATTTCAGTTACAACTTGGCCCATTAAAGGCAGAAAAGAGTATGGGTACACCATCAATGCATGGTGGACTAGAACCGATGAGATCATTGGATGGACAACTAGCGACTCTAAGAGGATCAACAGGAACTAGTCAGCCGGTACATATCAACAGAATACAAAAACAGCAATGCCAATACTTGTTTTCTTAATATACATGCATAGTTAAAAAATGCAATGTTCCATCTGACATAATATTTCATCATTTGAATTTAGATAATTGATATTAACGACAACAACACTTGTACTTTAATATCGATTATTTCTGACTTTTTCAAAGACAATTGTAAATACCTATAGGTATTCAATAATTTATTACCCTACTGCAAAATCACCACTCTAGGTGTTGGTTCACCATATACAATTTGAATTTAAAGAAACAAAAGGTCTTGAAATGTGTGTTATACTGTTGGATGATTCAGGACGTATATAAAATAGTGAGCAATAAGTTGTACGAAGGGCCTTATTTTACCAGAAAAAAAATAAGTTATTATAAGATTAAGTCATGTGATTTTTGTGAGGAACATTAATAGATATGAGCAAAGTCGAGATTGTACAGTCTTTCATATATTATGAATCTTCAAGCAGATTTTAAGGACTAAAGATAGCATGAATTTAATTTTTTTCAAAAAATTCATGGTTTTATTAATTGACACATATTTGTGAGTGGGAAATATCATGTACATCAAAGAACCAAATGAATATTAAATCATAGAGAAAAATGCTATATATGGTTAATTATTTAGCTAGTTATCAATGCACACTATATTTTTGCATGTCCCAAACAATGTGAAAATCAACAAAATTCTATTTTTTTTTTTTTTTTTTTTTATTAATTTGAAATGAAAATTCAGATGCAACAAAATTTTTGCTTTTTTCAGTAAATATCTATGATAATTTGTGATCTGTTGGCCAACAGATTAAATACTCCCACATTTCTTTAATGGAGTTGTCTAATATTTTGAAATTATTAATAATTTGAAGTTCAAACTTTTATTGGAATCCATATTTCTGTAGATTTCACCAACAGTAAGTTTTGTTGCACGCTAGAAGGATTACAGAAAGTAGAAAGGTCATCCATATGATCTTTCAATAAGATAACACTACATTTTCATTTTCATTTTCATGTTTCTGTGTATCATAGTGTGACTGCATGAAAATATCACACTCAGAATTGTGTTGGTTGCATGAAATCTGATATATAAAACTATTGGTTTTGTGTTTTACTCATGCTAGTAAGGGTCTCTTTTTAGAGAACCTAGATATTCCTTAGTTGTGATGCAGCCATCCTCAGAATAGTGCTTTGCTGGAGAAAAAAAAGCTTGAAAGTCGTTCATACATTTTGAATATTTACAAACTTCTTCCAATACAGAACTACTGGAAAAGTCGTACAAAACATAAAATATACAATCTGAATAATTTAGTCCAGCAAAATATAGCAATGTGTCTATTGAAATTAAGAAGAAAGTGATTGTTCCTCCTCCATATAATTTTTTGTCAAATGGTCAGTGTAATTTAATTTTATCAAGATCTTTTAAAAATTCTCATTATATACTTGTTGAAATGAAAACTGCTTAGGTAAAACAGCTTGACTTAGGTGACTTTCACCTAGGGTTTTGCTTAATTTGTTCCTGGGCAGTTTTATTATGACAACAAAAAAATCAATTTTTGAAATAGCTCATGAAAGAGTTTATAAAAAACAGACCTGTTGAATGAAAGTACCAACAAGGTTGAAGCATTTGTGGGGTTCAAGATGAGAGGTTCTTGATGCTGTTCATTTTACAACATATATACATGATTCAAAGGGACAAACAAATACAAGATGTCTTCAAGTCCCTGTATGGTTTTCAGTGATGGCTGCAATTTTACTCCAATTACCTCAAAGCTTACCCGCAACAATAAAGGATCAAGATACAATGTACTACATGAATAAGAAAAAAAGTTTGCTTTAGACACATAAACTAGAAACAAAACTAATACATTCACTGAACATTTAAGTTCTGGCTTTAGAAAGAAAAAAAAATAATCAAATGCATAAATTCCAAAAAAAAATCAAATGAATTCATTGTAAGAGAATGAGCTTTAATTAATGTTTTTATCAATACATTTGAAATAACAAATATAACAATTGTTTTAGGTAAAATCAAGTTTCAACACAATCATGACAGGTTCCCTAAAGCTGAGTACAAGTGGAAACCTCACAAGCAGCATTTCAATACCTTTTTACTCAAATGAGTTTGAAGATGATGTGAGTATAATTTGTAACAAGTTTCTACCTGTAAATTCAAATTTAATAGGTAGTACCTAGAAATGAAATGACACTTAAATGCAGTGTCACCAGAATAGATCATACATCATGACTTCTGTGGATTCATCATGATTCATGGAATATCAATTTTCATTGATGTTGTGGGTACAGGTGAACCAGGAATTTAAATGTTCAACAAAGTACAAATTTTCTGTAGGCTTGTATGCAGACTTTTGTGAAACTATTTCCACCAAAAAATTAAATTTTTCCTGAATACACAAAAATTTGTACCCACAACAATAAATGAATCCACAGTAATTCCTTCATTTTTTTTTCAAATAAGTAATGATGAAATAGGTCAATGTTTCTGTAATATGTTGTGGAGATGAGGTTAAAACTGATTTAATTATTGTTTTGGTTAATTTAACACAACTTATTAGAAATTTATATCTTATGCCATGTCTAAACAAAAGTCCCAGGCCATTAAAACTATAATTATTTCACTAATTAGCCTTTTGAGGAATTGTTATTCACACTTGTTCATATCACAAAATATCTCAAATTCTATCATTTTAGGGTCCAGAAGAGGAAAGGCCACATCACAGTGTAAATCTTACACCACAAGAAATGGAATATCAGGTCATTAGAATTAGTATAATCAGAAGTTCAATTGTTTGAAGCATGTTCATATTTTTTTAAACAAATAGTGTGGATTTTTGTTATGACAATGAATTATAAGTATATAGTTTATCACATATAAACTTTGAATTGGTTAACTTATAATTAAATGAAACAACTGCTAAAGATTAAGTGTATGTACATGGATTTATTTTATATGAATTTGGATAAATATACTTACCATGAAAATACAGTTGTTTATATCTAGAATTTGTTGCAACTTCATTTAACCCTATAAATTCATATATCCATTTTCAACTACGACAATGCTTTCAACATGGAAAATATTAATAATTGAGATAAAGTTTGAATAAATGCAATAGGGGGTTCAAAATGTTATAATTTCAAATATAGTATAATTTAATTTTAGTTGAAAGTTAAGTCTTCAAATTGTAAATTTTATATATTTTAATTACATACTTAGTGTTAGGGAGAAATGCCATATGAATTCACTTGTTAAATAAATATATCATGTTGGAATCTGGAGAAAGTGACCAATATCAACCTATAGGGGAATCAGAAACAAGACAGTGAAGATTTTGGTAAAGAAATTGTAAGTAACAAAATCTGCAGGCTTTGGTAGATAATAGTAATTTAGCTTTAAAAATAAGCCCTTTCTCATATAAACATGTTCAAAGGAGTCAAGGGGCATAAGGCCTAGTTTTGTCCCAAGAAAATAAAGTTTTTGAGAACTATTTCAAATTTGCACATAATGTTTGGAAATGCATAAAATCAAGAAATATAAGAGAATTACATAATATTTTTAATGTTATGATGTCACAATTATGTCATTTAATACACCAATTTCATGAAAACAAACAAAAATGTTAACTTTATGCAGTTTTCCCTCAATACTTCCTTTGTGGAAACATCATGCACAGGCAAGAAACAACAAAATAGTTTAAGAGCAGCTTTATTATAACCATTGACATATACTAACCAAAGATAAAGTTGTTTCTTGGATGCGCACATACTTTTCCAATCTAATATATACTTGAAAGTTGATGTAAAACAAGGAAAATCAAGAAATTTTACAAAATATACACATTTTGTCATAGTTTGTTGCCATAGTAACTTGCTAAATGTGAAATTTGTTTTTATTTTCTGAACACCTTGTATCTTAGTGTAGTTAGAACAAAGCAAAGAATATGTATGGTAACTCTAATATTTGAGCCAAATAAGGGTCTTATTGCTCCTACTCCTTCCTTTGTTTACAGTGTGTAGGAGAGAATTCCATTTATTTCAAACAAAAAGTATACCAATGTATATTTGAATTGGCTTGACTAATTGTTACTTAGTTTCTAAGTGAAAAGGATTAATATGGGAAGTTTTTGACTGATAGAGCTAGTGTATTGGTGAATCTGGTCTCTCAGTTTGTAGCAGTTCTTAATAGCTTTGATTTCAGTAACTGTCCTGGAACTGTAAGGCAGGCTGTGGATCTAATTGACCTTTGCTGTAATGGGTTTTGATCATTTATCTCCATGTCTTGTGCTTAGCCGGCTTTCCTGCATTCTCCTTTCTTGACCTGCTGGTCTTAGTATATAATCCTGGTTATATTTAAAGTTAGTGCCTATTTTCTTCAGGTAAAGTTGACTTTGTTCAGAAAGTCTCTTAGATTCGTACATTTCATTTGTGTGGGTATTCCCCGGCATGTTGTTATTTCTATGTACTCCTGAAGCTAGTCGTCCTTCCATGAACTGAGATTGTCCCAAACAACTACTTTTATACTGTGGATTCATTTTTATTCGTGATATACCCATTTTCGTGGGTCACAGCGAACCATGAATTTAAGAATTCAACGAAGAATAATCCCGAGAAATATGTATGGAGTCGGATGTTTATTTTCAATTATGTTGTGCAATTCTAGTATAGGGTTGACTAGCGATAAAGTGTGTACCATAAGACGTGGTTTTTTTTAAAGATGATAAAAATATTTTGACAAAATCAATAATAAATTATTTAGAATATCAGTGACAATTTACTTTTTAAATTTGATTAAAACTATTCATGGAAAATAACTGCAAGTTTCTTATTACCGTGTCATGATTTGGTTTACTGGTAATTAAAAATCAATAGTCTTAAGTACCGGGATATTGCCCGTAGGTAATATGTAATAGTTATCCCATGAGGACGTGGTGTGTCAGTGTAAGATCACCACGATGGCCAGAGGCCCGAGGGTGATCTTACACTGACACACCAAGTCAGAATGGGATAACTATTTTACATCCCAGCTGTTCTAAATTATATAAAAAACAATTTACGCTTCATAACATCTAGTTTAGAACGCCACTCAATCGTTATAATATACTTTATATATTACTACATAGTATATACCCTTTATGAGCCTTGGACACACTGTTTAAATATGTTAAAATTAACAGAGAGTTTGTATCCAGTCGTCCTGGTGTAGGGGTATGAATCTGGGGACTACTGTAAACCAACTTATTTTCACGGATACTTTATTTCGCGTTTTACCCTTCCTAGTCCACTTCGCGGCTATTTAATTTTGCGATTTACTAATTAACTTGATGTAGTTTAATAAGGTAAGATCCAAGTTTTACATATTCGCGACGATTTATATTCGCGTTATTTTCTACTCGCAAAAGTCACGAAAATAAGTTGGTTTACAGTATATGCTAAAGGTCTAGATTTCGATTCCCAGCATAGACACTAGATTTTTTCTACATAAATTTTGATAGTTAAGTCTTTTCTGTATAAATATATGTTTTATTGTGAATTTGACATTACCGCCAAAATGTTACAGAACAATAGAAAGCATGCAGAACAAAGAAACTCAAGCTAGGGGGATCTGGTAAGGGTGATCCTGCTCAGATTACCCCTGGTAGAACAAAGGAGCTGAGATGTACTGTTTATGACAGGAGCATTTATTTTCACACCTTTTACTTAAAAGCTGTATTGATAAACTTTTAATAAGGTAGTTCAAATAGGACACACATTGCTTTTCAAATAAAATTCCGATAAATTGCTGTTGAAGCATTTTTGTTTACTTAATTATGGACAAAACGACATTTTTTGTAACAAAATTTTGAAGGGAGAATGAAGAAAACAAATTGTATTTCAAATAATATTCAGATAAATTGTCGTTTAAGCCTGCATTTTTATTTATTCTGGACAAAAACAACATTTTTTTCGAAATAAAATTTTACTCATCAAAATGTTAAAACAAGGAGTGAAATAATTTTTCTGACAATTTAGAATAAAAAGTGTCTTTTACATGTTCACCAGAGTATATACATTTATTTCAAAATAGGGAGATGAGTTAATGGTATTATTAATGTATGGCTTGGGTTCCAGTTTAAGCTGCAAACATTGTAAGTGGCGTGTTTATAACTTACTTTTTACCATTTTCTAATATGACTGCTTATTATATCGGGATTAGGGAAAAAGCTCTCAATAAGTTGGTCATAATAGTTTTTGAATGCCTTATGAAATATCGACAAGAAATTATAAATTGTAAAACAAACAAATGACTAGTTGCCTCTGTCCATGCATGTAATCGAAGTTTTAAATCAACACTTTAACCTAGTATGATTAAGTGAGGATTTTGACAATTCAAAACATTTTCAATGAATTTCTGTGTTTTGATTTATTATTGACCAAACACAAATCCACAAATTTATGTATCTGTAACTCTTTTTTTTTTTTATTTTGAAACAGCGATCCACCAATTTACGTATACCACAAAATGTCTTTTTTTCTCTATCCACGAAAATTGATACCCATGAAAATAAATGAATCCACAGTAAGTTAATTTCTTTTTTTCAGGATTTCTTGTGGTAAGCATTTATCTATTTTATCCATTTGCAGGGCAGTAAACTGGTATGTAAACACTTTGTAAGTTGAACGATTTCACAACTTTAGTGCAGTATCACCTCTGCAGACAATGGAATTTTCACTACACTGGGTGCAGTCACCATCATAGCAACAAAGAGTTGCATTGAGAACTTTTGGTAAGTCTCCATGTTTTTGTCATACTTTTCCATCAGTTTAATTATTATCATGGAGCATCTACAATTCAGATCTTTGCTAAACACTGTCTTCAGATGTCAATTTTACTCTTTTGTTTTTCCATGGAACATTCCTCCTCCCAAAGAAGCCCTGAACTGAGATTGTCCCAAATGTACTGGATCTGCCAGTCTTTCGACTTTCCACATAGGTTTTAGACATGTAAGATGTAAGGGTGTCCTCAATACCTCTAGCTGAGTGTCAGTTGACTGTCTATCCATCTCATACCAGAATGTAATGCTGTTTTCTTCTTTTTTCAGGTCAGCATTAGCTTGTGGTCGAAGAGTACATATGTGACAAGTCGTCTCTTCACACTGTCAGGAGATTGTAAAGTTTGCCGCACATAGGAAGTACTTGCACTAACTGAATCAGGGAACCATCCAGGATTTCTAGGAGAGTTGTCTTTCTTTGACCTTTTCTTGCCTTGGTGCCATGGGGTATGACCAAGTTAAACTGGATCAGTAATAGCTCAACTTGGACTAAATGTATAAACTTTGGACATCCTTATATTTATAATCAAGTGTTGATAATATCTTCTTTGATGTACATTTTTTCCTTTGATGCAATATGTGGTGTGGTTTTGCAGAGACCGCCTTCAGAGGCAACTCTGAATTAACAGTGTTTTCTAAGCAGTATTCAATTGAGACAATTATTTTTTTATTAGGGGTCCAGATAAAGATTACGGTATCAAAATCTATGAAAATATGTTACTTTATACTTTAATGAGTGTTTAATTTAACAACGAAGCATATTTGTTTTTTTTTTTTTTTAAAGAATTTTTGTTGTCAAAATGTGATATATTTTTTAATAAATATTTTTCTTACAGAATTCATTCATATTATTCAAATCTCTTTATTGATAAAAATGAGCAAGAAGGAAAACTTCATTAAAGAGTTTATTTCAGTGTATTATTTCAAGGGAATAAAGAAATTACTCTTAGTTTGAAGTTTTCATTACATGTAATATGACCTGATGTTAAACATGAATATTGGTACCTCAGGTAAACAGGTCAAGTACCTGTGAAATTTGTCTAATTAGTGTTTATGTTTTATTTTACTTATTACAGATAAGATAAGCAAATTTTTAAAATAACTTTTGAAAGTGAGTTTTCTATTTAAATATTTTAAAACAAGTTTTATTTATTTTCAGTGTTGATATTTTATAAACTAAAATTACATGAATTTAAAAAAAAAATTCAATTGAAAAAACATAATATTTGATAAAGTTTCTTTGCGATTCTAAAACCTGAACCATTTAGCTAATACAGACATTTTGCTTTTTTGTAGATATCATGTTTAACAAAAAAGTTATGAAACTTTAACTTTTCCTAGTACAATGTACATGTAGTTACATGTTTTTGAAAATTTCAAGCCAGAAAATTCCTGGAATTATCAACATGAGGGCAGTGTTATTAAAACTATCAGAACTGCCGTAAAACTTGTCGGATTGATTTGAAATTTGGTATGCTGCTTTGATATAGAATAAGCTTAATGCATGCTATTTTCGTTGTTCACGAATATAGTTCCATATAATAAAAGTGTATTTTTTCTTTCCATTTCTCGTTCATTTCTTAGTTTTTATGGGGTCGAAATGAAAGAAAAGAGTTGTGAAATAAATTTTTTGATGTATTTTAACTGATTTTAATATGGAAAGTGTGATTAGGCCAGATGCATAAAGGTAATATTTACAGTTTTGGGAACATCTCTTGACTTGTCAGAGTTGGTGTGTTTGAATAACAAAAATAAGCTTTGTGCTACAACAAATGTTTTAAAAATTGAGGTATATTTCTTGATTGTTTTTTTTACACAAAAAAGAAGTAGAACACACCATTAACTAACACCTCCATAATTTTTATTTAAGCTCTTGACAACAAGTTTTCAAATGTTTTAAGTTCTAGCTGCAGATTAGGAATTGCTAATTCTTTACTAACATATCAAGTTTTATTTTTATTCTTCAGGTCTTGTATGGGTACCTTATTTATTTTTTAATGTAATTTTTTGAAACTTGTTTACATGTTTGAAACCCAATCAAAAAGATACGTCTGGCTTTCTCCACTAATAAAAAGTGGCATTAAATACATACAAAGAAACAAACATTTACTCTTTTATTGTTGATAGGAGTGATTTTTTGTGAAAATTGTGGTTAAAACTTAGTTATTGTATTTAAAAAAATCACAAATTTTTTTAAAAACTTTTTGTGTGCCAGGTTTGCATGGAAAATTAATGTATAGGTATGATATGCTATTCCAAATTGATTCCCAGTGTCACAAGAGTGAGCTCGATTAATGCCCTTATTGGCCAAATATTAATCAATTATTTAAAGGGAAAGTCCGCGATTTTTTACTTATCATCTAAATAACTTCATCTTAACATAAAAAACACATTCACAAAGTTTTAAATTTATATTCCTTCTAATAACGGAGAAAATCAAGTATTTGTAATTTTTTTGGTTGACCTACGTCACTGGGTTGTGACGTTTTAACCCGATTTGTTGAATCATGGGAAAAAATAAAATCTGTTAAAGGCTTAATTGCTTATCAAAATTTTACATAATTAAAAGTGCACAGATGAATGTTGGTCGTAGTTAATAACCACAATATAAGAATGGAAGAAAATGAATATGCGTGTACCGTTTTGTATAGATTGAATAAAACTTCCTACATGTATGTGAAATTATCTAAGTATAAATATTTTTGAACTAATTTCATAAATTTTTGTTGAGATAGTTTCATAAAATATCTATTGAACATTTTACTGATATTGAATTGGAATTGTTTTACGTTTTATTTACCGTTATAACTTTGATAACCATTTCAATGCAAAATATATATTTAACAGAGTGTGTATATTATTTTGTAAAGTCATTGTTTATTTCTCGAATTGAGGAGAATTCGTTTGAACTTTACCTTGCAGCAATTTAGCCTCAGGCGTACACAGGTGTGAATTCAAGCGCACACAGGTGTGTATGTTGTCATTTTGAATGGATTAACAGAAAGAGTATAGCGTGTTTAATACACCAAGATGAAATATCCGATGACAATAAAGAAACAATAACTAAATTGTATAAATTAATTGAAAATAAACATTATTTTTTTTTAAATTCCAGAAGAGTAAACAATATTACAGTGGAACAATTTTCGATTACGTTCTATGCAATTTGCATAAAATTAAAATATGAAGTTAAAAGGATAGTCCTTTTAATCTTAAAAATTAAACGTTTCATTTCCCAATTAATAATAATTGCACATCTGTTAAATTAACTTTACCGGAATTCTTTAACTTGTATTTAAATCTGGCTATGTTAAAATGCTAACAATCGTAAAACTCTCTTAATTTTTAAGTTTTTAATTGAAGAAAAATACAACAGTACAACATGCGTGATTTTTTTAATTTTCTTTCATAATTAAATTAATCTGCCAACCACTTAAACGAATTATTTGTAAAATTTATCGTTTATTTCATTAATGGAGATACATACATTATAAATATAAGCTAATACATTATTTTGCTTGATGATTTTTTTTAACAAGTTTTTTTCATATTCTATTATAATTTTGTGCAATGCAGAACAGCCGTCATTAATCCAAATTAGTAATTCAGTAGTTGTAATAAAATGCATATCTTAGTATAAATTATATAACTGATATTGACTAATTTAGAACAGTTTGTCCCAACCTCGTTGTTCTTGAAACAATCCATACTAGTAGACTTGTAAGTTTCCTGACGTATAAGCGCCATTGAGGATGAGCGCCAGAAGTTCTTTCTAACAGACAAAGCAGACTAGTATCTTTTCGTTAGTATGTGTGTACAAGTGACATGTCTGACTCTGAACAGTTAGTAAACCGACTTAACAATGACCTATAGAAATCGACCGCTTGTTCTTGATATTTGAAACTGCATGCATAAATTATTTATACGTTTATGAGAGTGATTATTTATCTTGTGTCTGACGAAAACTAAATGCCCGCATGGTTATATCTTGCCATTTTGTATTGGTTTGGTGGTTGTTCACTCAAAATCGTAATTCAAAAATTGTGTTTGTGAGATGTAGATTCACTTCAAAAACGAATTTCGTCTATATATATTTGTGACAAGTGTATATCACAGAGAAGCTCTAAAGGTATATTACTCCCATTTGGTTTGGGTGTGAACCATCGATGTTTACAGCAATATTTAATGAATAAGATGATGATGGTAGAAAGGAAATATGAGCGTCATGTGGCAAATATTACATAAATGTCGGACTATGAGTTATCTATCTGTATGAAAAGATTTCCAATACAACCATATTGAGTAGGATTTTTACATCCTATACTCTAGTCGTACTAGTATACAGGCTTCTCATGTCGTTTGACTCAGACACACATCTTTTACTTTAAGGTGTATGAAATATTCTATATATATATATTAAATTAACAATAATCAAACGCCTACAGGCAATAACTAAACGGGTATGAAGTTTTTATACAGATTTATTCTTATTTACATAATCATTAACAAACTAAATAAATTGAACAAAGAAACACAGTGACACTACGATATAACAAATGGGATACTTAATTATTTTTAACCATGCTATGCAGAAACTTAACACATCAAGTTAGCGCACGTGAATACCAATTTGGAACACGATGTGTAATTTTGTATACAAATATCAAATGTAGGACAGAAAGTCACAGGACAAAAAGTCACAATTCAGTTTTGAGATTATTTTTCTTTAAACCAGAAAACACTAATTTAAAAAACAATTTTTCTTGAACTATTATATATATGAAGAAACTTTGTAATTAAAATGTATTCAATAAATATCCAAAATGATCAAATAATTGTTATGAAAACAAAATGTCGAAGTGGCTTGGTACTTAAATGGCTTCATTGTGCCAAGAAATATATTTTTTGCATGATTAAAATTTAATAAATTTTCATTTATTAAGGCTTATGAACAATTTCTTAACTTGAAAATGAATATATGTGATAAAAAGAAAATATTTCAAGATCTTTCTCTTATTTATTCAAACAATTGTCAACCAATTATTTGTGACTTTTTGTCCTATCAAATTTGTGACTTTATGTCCTGTGAATTTTTATCCTGTGACTTTCTGTCCGTTTACCAAAATATCAAAGCGAGCAGTAACTTTGTCTAGCAAACATTTTTTCACTATGCCTCTCTTTATCTCTTTTCCTTTACAATTACTATTACCCTTTTCGTCGATCATTCTCTATACAGTATATTTTTCTCTAATCGGTTATTTTTTTTTTCTCACTAAATTTTATGCCACTCTATCTCTGTTCCTTTACAGTGACTGTTTTCACTGTCATTCTAATCCGTATAAAGATAGAAACATTAGACATAGAAAGAGCTCTCTTAACTTCAATAAATAAATATTTGATACTGACTATAAGTGCTGCATTACTTTATACTGCATGTTTGCCAATCGTCAAAAGCTTGTATTTGCGTGAAGAATTTTTTTTTCAAAAGAAGGGCCCAGAATCATGACAAAACAGTATTGATTTTACAATTTTTTTTAAAGGTCATGTTTATAAAATTATTAAACTTATTATCAGCAAAAATAGTGGATAATATTATTATCAGAACATCATTCATCAACAGGTGGAATTATAATTTCAAACACGCACAAGATAACTGACGTCGAACACAAATATATGTGGTTCAATAAATGTTACCTGTGCACGCCGGGTACCTCAATTAAGAAGCCATGCATGAACCTGTATAATATATTGTGTAATAGGAATTTTTAGTCGACAGGATGTCACTGGAATAACCAAGGACGTGTATCTAATATACGTCATTGGATAACTAACTGAACG